GGTGGGGGGGGGGGGGGACCTCCATAGTTTTCTTATTTTTACGTAGTTTGTCATTATTTTTTTGAAATGTTACTCATAACCTAAACATATGGATGAAGAATATAGTTCGAATCTAAGTCGAAAAAGGTGACTCTGTGATGCAAATTAAAGGATGAAAAATGGATTATCAAATTCATTTCTACCGGCCATTTTTTACTCAGTATTTTGAACTTAGTTTTTTATTGCTTTTTCAATCCGAAAAATGCGTTACAAAGTTTGTCATGAACACCTTGAATACACTATACAGTACCAAAAATTTTCCTCAGCGAGTATGAACATAGTCCAAAAATAAGTTGAAAGGGGTCACAACAAATGAAAATTAAAAGATAAAATAGTAATATTAAATTCATTTTTGACAGTCATCTTTAGCTTATTAATTTGAATTCACCATCAAACAATTTTTCAATCCAAACGATACATTGTGAAGTTTATCATGAATACTTTAAAATGGTTTCAAGGAACCTATCCCTAACAAGTAAAGAATGTAGCTTGAAAATGAGTCGAAAGACATATATGATATCAAAATGAGAATTAAACTCAAAATCCTAATTCAAGTAATCATTTATTTCGGACCTCCCAATGAGCAGGAACTGCGTAAAAAATAGAAGTATTAATGGTCTAACCACCATCTTTAGCCAAATATTTGGAACTTTTTTTTTTAATGATTTTTCAATACAAAAAATACGTGACCAAAAGAAATCTTGGCCCCTCAAAAACGAATTCTTGACTTCGTCACAAGTTCTTTTTAGGGATCAAATTTCTCTATATTTTTATAGTCATGCTTGGTGTATATCATTGTTTACACTTTGATACGTGATATTATTCAAATGGACAATTTTTATTTAAAAAAAAAAAAAATTTGTTTTTCATCCATGTATTTGTTGACAACAATGCAAATAACAACTAGAATGTGAAAAACGAGTGTAAAATGGCATAATCCAAATGTATATGCATGTTTAGCAATGAACACAATAGCGTGACAACAAATCGATTCCAAATTTTTTGATAAGGGTAATTGGCACAAAACGTCCTTACCTTTCAAGTCTATTGTGGAAAACGTCCCTACCTTTCATTTTTTGGCATTTTTGCCCTCATTTTAACCTTTCTTTGCGCTGGACGTCCTTCCGTCCATATTCCGTTAGTTTTTCCGTTAATTAAAGGGTAATTGGCACAAAAAATCCCTACCTTTCAAGTCTATTGTGGAAAACGTCCCTACCTTTCATTTTTTGGCATTTTTGCCCTCATTTCAACCTTTCTTTGCGCTGGACGTCCGTCCGTCCATATTCCGTCAGTTTTTCCGTTAATTAAATACAAAAATACCTTTTTCTTTCCATAAACAAGGGTAAAATTGTCCTCACCCACTTCACCCCTTTTTCCCACCATCAACTTAGTCCATAAATAACAGTAGCAGCAACATGAATCTGAAAATACTTTAAATAATTAAGTTAAATAAAGAAAAAATATCGTGAACACATTATATTTCACAATTCCACAACTACTGTTGCTGTCATCTTGTGTCATTGAAAAATTTTAGAAAGACATATTAAATGGGTAGTCAAATTATAATGAGCCAAAATGGTGAATGGCTCTTTTTGGCTCAATGGAGAAGATGAATGGCTCATTTTAAATTGACTCATTATAAATTAACTATCCATTTAATATGTCTTTCTAAATTTTTCCAGTGACACAAGATGACAGCAACAGTAGTTGTGAAATTGTAAAATATAATGTGTTCACGATATTTTTTCTTTATTTAACTTAATCATTTAAAGTATTTTCAGATTCATGTTGCTGCTACTGTTACTTATGGACTAAGTTGATGGCGGGAAAAAGGGGGGAAGTGGGTGAGGACAATTTTACCCTTATTTATGGAAAGAAAAAGATATTTTTGTATTTAATTAACGGAAAAACTGACGGAATATGAACGGAAGGACGTCCAGCGCAAAGAAAGGTTGAAATGAGGGCAAAAATGTCAAAAAATGAAAGGTAGGGACGTTTTCCACAATAGACTTGAAAGGTAGGGACGTTTTGTGCCAATTACCCGAATGTTTAACGGAAAAACTGACGGAATATGGACGGAAGGACGTCCAGCGCAAAGAAAGATTGAAATGAGGGCAAAAATGCCAAAAAATGAAAGGTAGGGACGTTTTCCACAATAGACTTAAAAGGTAGGAATGTTTTGTGCCAATTACCCTTTTATAACATATAGTTTGTGGTGGTTCTTTGCTTGATGTTTTATGGTAAGCTCTGAATTTAGTCATATCAGTCAACCTCTCACATCTACTGGTACAACTAGTCAGGGTTTAAAGACGCCGAATTTCCAGTGCATCTGATTCACGTGTTTGACATTTTAAAGCAGACAATATGGAATATTAGTCCCTGTTTGACAAAGCTTTTACAGATTATAAGTTTCACTAATGCAAAGACGACGCAGTCTAGTAGGCAAATAACTTGACAATCACAATGCACAGAAATGAGAAAACTATCTGAGTTCGAACAAAAATCTCCATAGATACATTGAACTGTGTCATAGTTTAGTTTACGCAAGAAATACTGTGACCCAAATTACAATTCGAAGCACTGAAAGGATATCAACTTACCACGTACAAAGAAGTTTATGCTTTTTCCCCTCCATTACAAGACAAAATCTAAACTGGAATGCTGATCAAGAAATGAATTTGAACTGCACAACAACAGGATATAATAACAGTGAACAACCAAATAATTAGCTGCAAAACGCAGTGACATGAGGCTTTTCATCACCCTATAGAGGAAAGATCTTCGAAAACCATCTTCATGTCAGGTCTCTCTGCTGCAGGAAGGACACATTTGAGAGCAATCTGAAGCACAGTGTCAAGAATTTTAAGGGGGTGCTCCGTGTTTCTTATTTCTATAATCCGTTGATCAAAACACTCGATCGATCGGTTCCCTGCAGCCAGAACTCTCACGCATTCTGTTAGATCCATCACTTCTGGCTCACAAGGAAAAATTTCTGCAGAATTCTTTCCCGTCAACAGCTCAAGCAGAATAACCCCAAAAGCATATACATCACTCTTTAATGATGGGCAAGGTTTACTTGTACTAGTGAATTCAGGTGGCATGTAGCCAAGAGCACCTGCGTTTAACACCTGCTCGGCTATCCCATTTGATGTCAATAACCTATGGAGACTATAATCGGTCAGAAGTGCGTTTTTGTTAGGAATTTCAATTAAAATGTTGGTGGATTTCAGGTTGCCATGAGGTATGGCACTTTTGGTATGTAGATAAGTAAGACATCGAGCGACATCAAGAGCAATTTTCAGCCTTTCATGAAGAGACAATGGAGGGAGCGTTCTGGGATCCGTCTCTGCAGATTACATTGGAAGTGGATGGTTAAGCATTTACTGAAAATATATACCAAATTATCCATCCAGCTATAAGAATTTCTAAATTTATATAATACTGCAAAATAAGTAGATATAGAACACATATTTTCAGGTAGCATTGATGAAATGAAACCTGTAAGTTGGAAGTATACCGTGAAGATAGAGAGCCAAAGGTGGAGCATCAATAAAATTAGATATGATTAGCTTCTCATGCTCCCTGGGACCCCAATAAAAACCCTCAAGGGAAACTAAATTTGGATGTCTAATATTTCCCAGTTTCTTTGCTTCTCTCGCAAATTCTTTTCTACCTTTTGCGATCCCTTCTTTTAGCCATCTCACTGCCAACACGTGACCTGAATCAAGCTCCGCTTTGTAC